AACGGGAGGACAGTGCTACAGTGCAGTGTTTTTATGTGTGTGTGTGTGTGTGTGTGTGTGTGTGTATGTATATTTTTGTATCCGTATATACACATATAGTAGGGCGTTCGCCTTACAAGCGGCCAACATGGCCGACCCGAGTTCGATTCCTCCGCCCCTCTCAGAGAGCCCGGCAAGCTACCGAGAGTATTCGATATGCCAGACACAGTAACAACAAAGTCTCCAATGGAGACGTTACTGGGCCCGCTCGAGCAAATCGACGATCAACGGGAGGGCCTTTACCTTTTACCTATACCATTTATTGGATACATTTATCTTCAGAAGGATTTTAAAACAAAATATCGACTATAATCTAAAGGGTCATCTCCAAGAATTTAATGATAGGGGATAGAGAGAGCTCAGCAGTTAGGGTACATCTTTGGAGTCTGAACCTCAGTACTGCATGATCCCCAGGGCACCCTGGGCGCCTCTGAGTACCACCTCGTAAGGCCCTGGGGCTGCCAAGCACTGGTCAGTCACAGCTTCTCACCCACAGAGGTTAGCTCTGAACCCCCAATTCGGTGACCAAGTCTGCCTGGCATTGGCACCCCTTGGGAGGCAACTAGAACAGAACATTCTAGCACTATTAACACACACGTATGGTCATCGGAAGATAAAACTGCAAACTGAAGTGTGACTTGAATAAAAGCAAAATTTAAGTTCGACATAAACAGGCAACTGATTAAATAATGGCAAATGTGTAAACTCAACACTGACAAAACAGGGCAGAGTTTCTAAAGCAATAAGTAAAGAGGAAGACTGGATTGATATGACGATATGGCAAGAATTAAGAGGGAAAAAAACGCAAGAAATGGTAATCAGTGATGAGTATATGAGTGAAAAAATAATTTGTTTAAAAACAGTAATTCCATAACTGAATTGAAAAAAAAAGTCTTATGTATTTGCAAAAGACATACATGAAACATGACTTTGGGGAGGGAGGGACCGTAGGGTCTCTCCCCTAGACACTGAACCTGGCACGGCTAGGGACCAGACATCAGATATGAGCAGCTCTGTGCAGGGAGCATTTGCTCCAGTCCCTTGAATTCGTGGACCCCATAATGGCAATTTTTAAAAATTGAAAGGGTAGGGCTGGAGTGATAGCACAGTGGGTAGGGCTTTTGCCTTGCACGCAGCCGACCTGGGTTCGATCCCCAGATCCCATATGGTCCCCCGAGCACCGCCAGGAGTAAATCCTGAGTGCAGAGCCAGGAGTAACCCCTGAGCATCGCTGGGTGTGACCCAAAAAGGGAAAAAAAATTGAAAGGGTAAAGATAAACATACCAACAAACTGGGTTTAAGGGGGAAATTCCTTTATTAAGTTTTTTTTAAAAAGAAACTAAAAATATGGAATAACATGAAAGTTGTAGGGAGCAAGAAAAAAAATTATTTACCACAAACCTAAATGGAACTCATACAGAACAGGAGTGCGGTACCGCCAGCAGGTCAACCTGTACCCGAAGGGCAAGTGCATCAGCAGCCTGGTGGTGCCTTCAGGCTTCCTGATACCCCCAAATTGCCACTGTGCCTCTGGCCAGACCCCAACAATTTAGGACCAAAGTTCCCTAGAAATTAAATGTCCACATGCTAGGTATATGGGAGTCACACACACAAATCACCTCCGGCTCAGCTATACAAGCTCTATAAACTATTCAGCATCTGCCTAAGGGGCAGGCTAGGATGGTGGTGGGAAGATTCAAAGTAATGGTGGTGAGAAGGTGTAATGGTGGTGGAATTGGTGTTGAAATACTGAATGTAAACAATTATTGTGAACAACTTTATGAAAAAAAAATTATGTTAAAAAAAAGAAAGAAAATTCAGTTGCTACCGGCTCCTCCTGAGAGCAGTGATGGAATCCAAATAATTTTAAAACAAACTGATGTAATAGTCAGCATGCCTGTGCAATCTCAGAGAGCCAGCATGGCTGTGTAATCTCAGAGAGCCAGCATGCATGTGCCATCCCATACATCTAAGCAACAACCCCCACGACAAAGGGAATTAGTAATATAAGAGTAATTTTTTAGTGTGTGTTGTAACAAGCAATAAAAACTAAACAATCTTGCTCCTGCCTAGGGGACGGGCTTGGGGATAGATAGGAAACTGGGGACAATGGTGGAGAGAAGGTCACAGTGATGGTGGGATTGGTCTTGGAACACTGAATCCCTGAAACAGCTGTATTATGAACAGCTTTGTAAATCAGGATGTTTAAATAACGTGGAAAAAACTCATACAGTGGGGCTGGAGTGATAACACGGCAGGTAAGGCATTTGCCTTGCACGCGGCCAACCCGGGTTGAATTCCCAGCATCCCATATGGTCCCCCGGAGCACCGCCAGGAGTTATTCCTGAATGCATGAGCCAGGAGTAATCCCTGTGCATCACCAGGTAAGGAAAAAGTAAAGGCCCTCTCGTTGATCATCGATTTGCTCGAGCGGGCCCAGAAACGTCTCCATTGGAGACTTTGTTACTGTGTTTGGCATATCGAATACATCACGGGGAGCTTGCCAGGCCCTGCCGTGCAGGCGAGATATCTCGGTAGCTTGCCGGGCTCTCCGAGAGGGACGAAGGAATCGAACTCAGGTCGGCCATGCATGCAAGGCAAACGCCCTACCGCTGTGCTATCGCTCCAGCATGGCCAGGTGTGACCCAAAAACCAAAAAAAGAAGAAAAAAAAACACACAAAAAAAATACAAAGACAGCAGACTTGGGAGGAGACAGTTCAAGTGATAAAGCACAAGCCCAGCATGTGAGTTTAATCCGCGGGACCACCAGGTGTAGCCCCAGTGGCCTCCAACGTCAGCCATGCCTGAGTGACAGACCATCAGTTCCACAGGGGGCAGAGCAAGGCGTGGCCCTTAGACCCCATCCCCAAGTCCTTCTCCTCCCACCCCACCTGCTCCACTGGGGTGAACTGTAGGATTACATTGGTTTGTCCTTTCTGCCTTGCCACAGGGAGCTGTTTATTGGGTGACTCCCATCACAGTGCTCCCATTCCTGTGTTTATTTGTAATCTCTTTCCTTCTGCTCTGCTTCCCCAACTGGTCAATCATCTTTATCTCCGAATCAGACTCAACAGTTAACTTGTAAATATTGCTTTTCTCTTTTCCTTACGTCCTTTGCAGTTACTTTAGAGCAATGTCCTTTTTGTACAGACACAGGAAGGCAGTTAATGCTATGCTTTTGTAACTTGAGAGCTGACTCCAAGTAATATTCACTCCTGGGCATCTGTTTCTGGACCTAAGCCTCAGCTGTCCTTACTTCCTAGCACCCCAAAAGCAGGGTCCTGACAAGGGACTAGATGGACCCAGGGCAAGCTGTGAGCTACCCTGGCATCAAAATGGGTCAGGCCAAAGCACGACAATACTTAACTGTAAGTTAAGAGTACGGTCATGAACAAATTCTGTCATAATCCAAAAAGTAACAACTAGATTAGGACCCTGCTAGGGTTAGGAAAGATTAATCTGGCCTGAGCACTGTAGTCTGAGATCTATAGCAAGATGTCCTCAGGAGAGCCAACCTACAAGCTTAATGTATTTCTTAAGACGTTAGAATTAAGATGTTAATTAAGTTATTGGACTAAGGAAAGGAGAAAAACCCCTAGGTTGGTATTTCACCCTTGAGCCTGATCTCCTGGCTGCAGGCGATCAGGGAGGGCTTTGATATGTTGATTGAGCTACCCAACCTGGATGTGGTTGCTGTGGCCAAGGCTGGGAGGTTGAGAGACAAGAGAGAGACCAGAGAGAGAGACCACGGCGCGGAGTCAGAGCGAGGGAGACAGGAGGAGATGGGAATGAGGGGTTTACTGAGATTGGAACAGGCATGTGGGAAGAATGGAATAAACGACAACCGATCACCAACCAGCCTGGCCCTCGATTCCTCCTTCGTCCTCCCATGGCATCAGCTGTCCCAGGTGGGAAGCGGCGCGAGACCATCTAACGCAGGTGATGAGAGAGCTGCGGGATTCCCAGTCACTTGGGGATTAAAGCAACACTAATTTGGGTCCTAGGGACAGCTCAGAGCTTGCCTGGCGAGCTAAAGGCCTCGAGTTTGAAGCCCGATGTGGCTGTTGAGTAGCATCCTGGCAGCTGTTTCTTACTGGGCAGCTCTGCAGTCTTGTGATCCCCCAGTACAGAAAGCGACATCCACAGCAGAAATTTCCAAAAGGAGTCTACAAAACGCGTATTTACATAACACTTCCACAGCAACTATTAGCGTTTGAGGTTTCATCTTCTAAATTTCAAAATACAGAAAATGAGGTTTTTATCTTCTAAATTTTAAACACTGTCGACCAATGTTCAAGCTAGAAGGCGTACTAAATGAATTTAGGACGTAGTTCCTATCTGTCTATCCCACAAAACGGTTAGCATTTGCACAGTTAGCTTTGATCACTGTTTGAAAAAGTGAAATGGGGGCCGGAAAGACAGTAATCTAGGTGCTTGCCTTGCACGCAGCCTCCGTGGTTCAATCCCTGGCACCCCGTAGGGTCCCCTGAGCACCTCTGGATGTTACGCTGAGCACAGAGCACAGGAGTAGGCCCTGAGTACCAACAAGTGTAGCCTGTAAACCCCCAAAACTAAAATAGTGAAAATGAAAATAGTTAAGAGCCTAAGTTTTTTAAAGATTCCATCTGTATTTTTAATGTACGAAAAGGGACAAAGGAAAAAATAGTACACCAAAATAGTATGCCCTGGAAATATTTCTGGATGGTGCTATTTCTGTGCAGTAAGTTTATTGCCATCAAGGTAAGCAGTTCCTTTTGGGGGCGCAGAGGTGCCAATGGAAACTGCACCCAGGGGTTTTACTGGGGACGGAACCCAGGACCTCACACATTCAAAACATGTACTCACCACTGAGCCACATGCCTCGCCCCTGTTGTTTTATTCTTTAAGAAAGTAAAAGCAAACACTGGTATAGATCTTAGGGAGAAAAACATCCTCACAAGCACACAACACTGCATAAAAAAATCTTTTAATTTATTATACATAATTAAATTTTAAGGAGATGGAGATGGAGATGGAGTTTCTGGTGTAGTTTCTTCACTTTGCTCTTCAGTTACCTGTAAAACACAAACAGCTCTTTACTTTTCAGATCAACACTTTGTCTTCTCCTTCACCCACCATGTAGGACCATCCCACAGTTCTCTAATGGTCCTGGGTTTTCTCCTTCAGTAGCAAGTTTTAAGGACAGCGCAGCAGAACAGGGTTAAGGCGCTTGCCACAGGTGACCGATTCCTAGCACCGCATATGGGCCCTTGAATACCGCCAGGAGTGACCAGTAAAATTAGAGCCAGGACTAGTCACTGATTATTGCCAGGTGTGGACCCCAAACCCAAACCAACATACACTCCCACCCCACCAAACAAAAATGAACACTCAGAAATAAACTTTATAAAAAGTAAAGCAGAAAGAGAAATAAGGCCAATATCCCCACATAAATTACTGTGATCCATTAAAAAATAAAATCCAAAACACATAGGATGAGAGTTTTCATCCTATGTACCTGATGACAAATAAATGACAAATAAAACTGTCATTGTATTTTTCAACTATAAATGAAGCACTACAAATAAGAAAATGTACAGAAGTGCTCCAAAGTATTTTAAACCAGTCTATATTGCTGGAAGACAGGACTATTTTGAACAATGCACTATTCACATCCCTTAAGGACAGGTGCACGTTCGCCCATCGAGGGAAACATCACAGAGTGCCACAACCACAAATGTAGCCCATCACTGACCAAAACAGCCTCCACCAACTCAGGACTTTGTGTCCTTATTTCTCGTTGATGGCATCCAGAGATATTAAACTTTCAGGGCTAAATCTACTTCTCATCAGCCCCAAATCTGTCCCACTCCTGTACCATGTCTTTCAAGAAAGGGTCTACCAACCTGCCTGCCCCCAACATAGAGAAGCCAGCTCCTTTAACTGCAGTCAAGCGACAGTCCTGTTAACTCCACCTATGAAACTCACTGTAGTGCCCATGCTCATACCGAGCCTGACAATTCATCGTTCTCTATGGCCCTAGTAAGAATACTGGTTTCAGCAGCCACCTTTTCCCACGCCATCCCCAGAATGAACGTTAGGTAGAGCTGACCAACAGGTAACATCTGTGTTCAAATGCTCTAGCCACAGGGTCAGAGAGACAGTGCAGCAGGGGACAGCCTGCTTTGCATGCAGTCAACCCGGTTCTATTCTATCCCCGGCACCCTAGATGATCCCAACAGGAAAGGTCCCTGAGGACAGAGCCCTGAATGAACCCTGAGCACCAGCAGCTAGTGTGACCCAAACACCCAAGATAAAAAAATTTTACAACTCTCCAGTCACCCCCATAACCTTCAAGAGGGGAATGCAAAATTTACATCACGGAGGGAGGCCCCTTGCAGACTATTCCCACAGATTTCTCTGGAATCATCACCCACTCTATAGGCGCCTGAACACTCAGAGTCAGATCCCACCGACTGTGTTCACCCTTCCTCCATGCCTCAAGACAAGTGGCTCCCTCTGAGACAATCCCCAAACTCCCTCCTAAAACAGCATCTCCCTGGACTGCTTTTATTCAGCCTGTAGCAGTCCCCAATTCCTGGGGACCTTCCTTTCATCAACCCCGCGCTAGTCCTGTACTTCTCCATGTCACAGTCCCACATGAATGACCTCCTGGCTGAGTCTCATGAGGAACGACTTGGCGCCAGAGCTGTGCAGGAGGAAGAAAGTGGCATGAACGCCTTCAAGAGTGTCAAAGAAATAGCTAAGAGGACGAAAAACCTCCAGCTCCAGGCACATCCCTTTGGCTCAACCGTTCTTCCTGCATTAACATATGCCTCAGAGACCTCGGCCCTACGAAAACAGGATGAGAACGCTATTTGGGTCTCCCAAAGAGGAATCAAAAGAGCCAGATACTTGGAGTATCATGCTTCACTTAGTGTGAGAGAAGGGATCCGGCATTCCAACCTCCGTCGATGATCGAGAATCAGGGACACTGTCTCATTTGCCAAGGCATCGAAAATCAGATGGACCAGACACATAATGCAATTTGAAGACGACCGCTGGACTAGAGCCATTACCGAGTGGATTCCACAGGACGTCAAAAGATCATGTGGCTGCCCACCTACGAGATGGTTAGACTTCTTCGTCAAGACCCTAAACAATCGGTTTGAGTCTCTTGGTGTTCCTGGAGCAAGCAGACACCATTGGGCTACACTAGCACGGAACAGGGATGAATGGAAACGTTACTGGCCCCTGCTCAAGCAAATCAATGAGTAACGGGATTTCAAGTGATCAAGTGATGACCAGGACATTTTAATGTCAACAATAAAAGCAGTTTTAAACTGTATCTGTCAAATCTTCATCTTTAAATTTTCGTTAAATTGTAGTAAGAAAAAACCTCTGGAAGAGAGGGGTGGACGGTTGGCACAGGGATTACAGTATAAGCCTTGCCATGTTGGTGGTCAACTTCAGTTCGATCCCCGGTACCACCTCCAGCCTGAGCCTAGAGCCAGGAAGCACCTCTGAGCACTGCAGAGTGAAGACAGCTATAGGCTGGAGTTACAGCTTCAATGGCAGAACAAACGCCTCACATGCGTAAGGCCATGGGTTCCATCCTCAGCACCACAAAGAAGAGAAACAGCTGTGTTGAGTCACTGCCTGAGCATTTTACAGTAGGACAAAGATGCTCACATCTGGAGTCAAAACATCTGATTCAAGAACTGAGCTCAGGGCTCCTCCCACAAATGCCACTTTGCTTTTCTCGGGACAATTTTCAGAACAATTATTCAGACTTCCATCCTCCCTCCTTTGAGGTAATAAACGGCCCCAACCCGTTCTATTCTCTGAGTGAGAAATCTGGAGCCCTGGCTTCCTCTCTGTGCGTGCAGTAAACTGTGCTTCCTCTGTGTGCGTGCAGTAAACTGTGTTATCAGCTAAAACAACCTTCAGGTTTCACTTCCCCAAAGTGGGTGCTCATTGCTGTGGGGGCCGCTACCTGCTGACCCCAAGAAGATGGCCTGTTCAGTAGGTTAAAATCCAAATGCTTCTAGGCTGGAAAGACAGTACAATGGGCAGGGCATTTGCCTTGCACACAGCAGACCCGGGTTTGACCCTCAGCATTCCATATGGTCCCCAGGGACCACCAGGAGTAATTCCCAAGAGCAAGCCAGGAGTAACTCCTGAGTATCATCAGGCGTGGCCCAAAAACAACAACAACAACAAAAATGATGGTTTTTAAAAAAAAAAATCTAATGTTCTTTTTTTTTCTTCTTCTTCTTTTTGGGTCACACCCAGACATGTACACAGGTTACTCCTGGGTCATGCACTCAGGAGTTACTCCTGGCAGTGCTCGAGGGACCATATGGGATGCTGGATCTCGAACCCAGGTCAGCCATGTGCAAGGCAAACACCCTACTCACTGTACTATCGCTCCAGCCCCAAAAGATCTAACGTTCTTAATTTAACACCAATTGCAGTTTGTGAACACACTGGGTTTTTTTTTTAACATAAAACTAATTAACGCCATTACAAACATCAAGAACTATTTCTATAGTAATATTTTTATCTACCTTCAAAGCCTACAGTACCATTTCCATGAAAATAACAAATTCAAAATAAAGAGAAATTGCTAAATTACAACTTTCCTCTTGCCAATGTACCACTGCAATCAACCACCACATACGGCTTCAGTTGTTGAGACAGATAATTACTTTTTTCTTTCTTTCCTTTTTCTCTTTTGTTGCTTAATTTTAATGAGAATTTCTTCACAGACGAGTACTCATTAGCTGTCAGAAACACTAACCAAAAAAGCACTTACCAGTTTTCGAGATCTTTCCAATAGCTTATCCCATATTGTAAAATGTGCCTTAAGGGAGAAAAAAAAATGTCTTACTATGAATTCAAGCAAGTTAAAATAAACAAGGCTGAATCTTTGCACAGGTTTTAAGCATAACAAATACGTAAAAACGAGAAAACACTGTTTTGTCACAGTGGTCACAGAATTGGATTACAGTAGGGAAAGGGACCTAGAACAGTGGCTTTGCTTCGCAAGAAGAAAAAAGTCCTAAATATCCCATCCTTCCTCTCCTGTCCATCTTAATCACCACCATTATACAAAGAACTCCTTCCCATAGGAAGCAAAAACCCGCTCCATTTTCCTTCATATTCTATGTAGCTCTTTCCTACGTGCGAAGAGCTTCAGCAATCTAGAGGCCATTCTTAAAATCAGAAGCAATCACAAGGCCAGCATCATTGAGAGCCAAGTATGAGGAGAGCAGAGATGTACTATAGGGGGCTTGGCTGCATGCGGCCGTCCTGGGTTCTAGTCCCAGCACCTCATGTGACCCTCCAGTATGGCCAGAAGTGATCCTGGCACAGACCCAGGAGAAATCCCTGAGCACTGCAGCGAGTGGCCCCAAAACACAACAAAACCAATTCAGCTATGGAGTTTTCACACCAAATGGCAGTCTTTGGACAACTTTAACAATAACTTTAAAAGAACGCGTCAAAACAAAGACAAGAGTAAAATACTAGAACAAATTTCCTTAATCCTTCATATTAAAATGTCTAAGTTAAAACTGTGAAGTACATAATGACCAAATAAGGGTCATTCATTTTATTAAGACGGTTAAATGTGCACAATGAGAGGCGGGGAGTTGGTGAACTAGCTAGTAAAATGACTAAATACTTGGGAATCCTTCTGGAAAAAAAAAATGTTGTGCTTACAGAGAAAACCATGCCTGTCTTTAATCACAAATCCAATTCAAAAAATGTTAATTTAGTGAAGATTAAAATACATGCCCTTCAAATTTGGGGTGAAAAAAATTGTGTCAAGGCACTTCCTTTGCAACCCACCAACCTACCTAGGTTAAAATTCCCCGCACCACCAGGGGTCAGTACTGAGCACAAAGCCAGAAATAAATCCCTGAGCAGTGAGTTGCCTAAAACAATGGGTAAAGAAACCAATGAAAATTCCAAGCACCCGCCTAACAGATGAGCTAAGACTTGACTCTTCGCTTACTCGTAAGTGAACAGGTAACGAGAGACCCTGGAATCTTCGTACTAGATCTGGCCCAGAAGCCGGAAGATTGTGCATGGCGGACACTTCATACTGGAAACAAACACTCGTTCTTGGAATAACGGGGCCTTCGTTCACATCAATGAAGTCACCAAACCTGATTGGATGATAAAAAAGAAAAAGAATAAAGCCTTAGGGGCAAATAATTTACAATAGCTTAACAAAGAACCTCTTGATCCTCTGCTGTGAAATTCCAAGAACAGATCCTTCGATGTGGATCAGCAGCACTTGACATCAGCATTGCTGAAAGTAGACCAAGGCTTAAAACATCAGTCAGGTGAACTTTTCCCTTCATTTAAATGGACAGAAACTACAAAGGTATTTCTCTCTCTCTAAACTACGAAGGTATTTCTTTCTCTCTCTCTCTCTCTCTCTCTCTCTCTCTCTCTCTCTCTCTCTCTCTCTCTCTCTCCTTCTCCTGTCTGTCTGTCTGTCTGTCTGTCTGTCTGTCTGTCTCTCTCTCTCTCTCTCTCTCTCTCTCTCTCTCTCTCGGCTTTTTGAATCACACGTGGCAATGCTCAGGGTAGGCTCGGGGGACCACATGGGATGCCTGGGATAGAACCCAGGTCAGCATTGTGCAAGGCCTTCCCCACTGCACTATTTTTCCAGCCCCAGAACTTACTAAGTTTTCTAAGTTCACCGAACACATCATGCAATCAAGTAAATCCAATGCCTAAACTGATAACCTACAAGAACTCATTCATCTGAGGTGAGAATTCAGCGTGTGGGACGGTTCCTCTGGAGACAAATAGAAACTCTCTAGAGGAAGTTAAGTTTGAGTCCAGACACTGAGGAAACGGAGAGAGGCTCTGAAGACGCGGCTGCATCAGGCACTGTCTTCGCCCCCTCAGCCGGGCCGCAGAAAGCACCCTCGAATTTTACTGACACGCAACTCCAGTAACTAGGCAGCAGTCACGTTTCTGTACACACGTGCACTGTCATGCATAAATCAGAATGATGACTATTTCGCCCACTTTCAAAACTCTTAAAACAGTATTTTTAAGTTAAGTTTCCAACTCTTGAAATGCAAAGGTAGAAAACAGAAATAAAATGAGGAACAGAAACCCGAACTGCCCCCTGAAGGTAACTTAAAGCTTAGAATTACCACTATTATCAAAACAATGAGCAAAGCAAAAGAAAATGAGACAGCAAGAAGAGCGAAGCCAAGCAGAAATACTCCTCTTGCAGTCAGATGCTCTATCTCATTAGCCATAAAACGGAGGATCCCCGGGCTAGAGAGATAGCACAGCAGGTAGGGCGTTTGCCTTGCACGGGGCCCCAGCCAATCTGTGTTCGATTCCCAGCATCCCATATGGTCCCCTGAGCACCGCCAGGAGTAATTCCTGAGTGCATGAGCCAGGAGTAACCCCTGTGCATCGCCAGGTGTGACCCGAAAAACCAAAAAGAAAAAAAAAAAAGAAAAAAACTGAGGCTCCCCATAAAGCAGCACAGATGGTCTTTAAAGTTTTACTTACCTGTGTAGCTTGATTATTCTTTCAGGATTCTGAGATGCTTTTTTTTCTATAAAATCTATTTTATACCTAAATAGAAAATAAAGAAAAAAATTTTAAGTCTAGGGGCTGGAGCAATGGCACAGCGGGTAGGGCATTTGCCTAGCATGCGGCCGACCCGGGTTCAATTCCCAGCATCCCATATGGTCCCCCTAGCATCACCGGGAGTAATTCCTGAGTGCATGAGTCAGGAGTAACCCCTATGCATTGCCAGGTGTGATCCAAAAAAGAAAAAACAATATTAAGTCTAAATGTGCCCCCTTCCCTCCAAAAAAGACATTCAGAGTTAGACATTCATTTCTCTCTTCAGTTAAGAGTTTCCATGAGTGTTTTACACTTGAGCCCTTCCCCTCACCCTTCCCCCCTCCTTCAAACTGGCCATAGGCTAATGACTCCCCAAAGGGCTCTGGTCAAAGCCAGCATCCACAGTCAAGACAGGAAGTTTCCATCTGCTTCCACTGCTCATCCCCACCCCTTTCCTGCTGGCTCTTTGCACAGCCCTCACAGTGTTCCCTGGTGCCTAGCACTTGCCCTTCCTGGACCATTCTATCCTCAGCCTCTCTTTTGTCACAAACCATCATCCAAAGCCAGCTCTGCGCAGGTTTCACTATCACTTACACCTGTTCTGAGCTGATGCCTGTGTCCCCAACATCTCCCTGGCCACCCCCTTGGGTGTGTTTCCACAGCACCTTAATCTCCAAAATTCTCAAACCTCGGCAAAAATTACCCCCTTTTATCTCCCCCAACTTTTCCCGTGAAACCTTCCTGAATTTTCTCCTTAGTAAATGGCACCGTCAAACCCTCACTTGGTCCCAGTAAAAAGCGTCAGCAGTTTCCTTGATTTCCTGACTCATGATAACACCTTCAATAACCAAATGTTATTAGCAAATCATGACAATCCCATTGCCCAAATTCCCCTCGAATGTGCCCACTTTTGCCAATATGGCTAGTAGCACATCGTCCATGTGCACTTCAAGTCTTGACTGCCTGATATGAAAAGCCTTGGAGCTGGAGAGAGAAAAACAAGATCATACCCCAGAAGCCCCGAGGGTCCCCTAAGCCCCGCATCGCTCTGGGAAATTTCCTCAGAATATACTGAGGTGCATTCTGTTCTCCAGCTTAGCTAGAGAGAGTACGTATTCACCATGGTCCGATTAATCTTCTGAGGCACATCATTTTTGAAAATGCCACGCAGAAGTACAGATCCAGGAGACTTTTTTAAACTAACCCATGACAAGTGTGCCTGAATTTCCAGATTAACCTAAAGAAAATCTAATTTACAACATCAACTATTTTACAAGGCATCAGAATCTAGTGCCTCTATCACTGCTTTTTTTACAGAACTATTGACTTGCGTACTAATTAGTTGTTATTTTAATCTGATTAATAATAAGTTTTACCTTATGTCGGGTAAGGCGTTTGCCTTGCCCGCGGCCGACATGGCCGACCCGAGTTCAATTCCTCTGCCCCTCTTGGAGAGCCCGGCAAGCTACCGAGAGTATCTCGCCTGCACAGCAAAGCCTGGCAAGCTACCCGTGACATATTCAATATGCCAAAAACAGTAACAACAAGTCTCGCAATTTGTTGTGAGACGTTACTAGTGCCCGCTCGAGCAAATTGATGAACAACGGGAGGACAGTGCTACAGTGCTACCTTATGTTCTTAAGAAGCTATTCTGAGCGAGAAAAGAAAGTAGGAAGTTAGCAGGGATTCTGAATATTGATCCAAAAAAATTTTTTCAACAAATTGCTGGCATTTTCTCTTATTCCTTTCATTTCCCTGGAAAGAAGGAAAGAGACAGCTTCAAAAATGCACAAAATCATACTTTCTTTACTAGGACAACATAAAGAAAAACAGAATTATGTTGATATAAAAAAGACCAATCATAAAAACAGAAGTAAAACAAAACAAACAATTATGGGGGGGGGGGGGGGTGCGGGTGCTGGTAAATGGGAGAGGGTTATTTTAGCAAAGTAAAAAAATTACATGAGGGTAGGTGGGGCTTCTCTCTGTGAAATATATGATGAGGTCAGCAAGCATGAATAGACTGAAATAATGATCCTAGAGCTGAAAGCAAAATGATACCATGCATCTCATAAAACGTCCCCAAAGCTTTATTTTCTTCACTCCACAAAACTTTGGGAAATTTACTCTATTTCCAAGGAAGTTCACTTACTTGTTGTGCTGAAATATTTCTAACGCCACTTTTGCATCCACATCCAGAGTTTCAAATGGGAGATCTTTATAAATTAAAGTGCGGGCATCATTTGTGAAGGAACGCAGGTTCTCCTTAAAAGACAAAGCATTAAACTTCTATAACGATTTCATTTTCCCAGGGGCTGAAGAGACACAGGACAGCAGGTAAAATGTTTGCCTTGCATGCAGCCACCCTGGGTTGGATCTCCAGCACCCCCAAAAGGTCCCGTGAGCACCACCGCGAGTGATCCCTGAGCATAGAGCCAAGAGTAAGCCCCCGAGTGCTGTTAGTGGGGCCCAAACACCAAAGAAAAAAGAAAATTTCTTCATATTAGTTTTACCATTATAGTCAACCAAAGCAAAATAAAATTTACACGAAAAGTTATTCATTTGCAACAATGGAATACTTGGATCATTAAAGATGAGCATGTTGCAATTTCTCCCATTTTTACAGCTCCAAAACTTGTGGTTTATTATATTTACCATATCAGCTTATATTTGTATTGTTAAATATAATTCAACAAAGAATCATTAATATTTTATCTCATTTTAGATCGCCTTCTATGTGTTTATTACAACAGTGCAAAAAAAGCAGACATGTGAATAAACAGCAAGACACAAAAATGTTTCCACAGTATGAGTAAAATAAAGATTTTGAGAGGCATGGGTCCAAAAGTTACGACTGATGTCCTCCTAGCTTCTTAAACTGTGTGGCTGCCCGTCCCAAATGGGAACCGCATAAAAACATGGGGCTGCAAAGGCTCGGTAATAGCTGAAGGTCTTTGAATAAGCAACAACCAAAAATTAATTCAAAAGCAACTGTGTCCTGCGTACAAAGGTATTCCCAGGCAAAAGGGGATGGCAAGTAGGAAACGTGTATGGAGCCCTGGTCTAGGTGATTCAGGAAGTTTCTCTGGGTACTGTAACAGCATCACTGACCCTGTCCAGATTATTCAATGTTATGAATTTCTGCGAGTTGGAGCAATAGCACAGCGGGTAAAGGCGTTTGCCTTGCATGAGGCCAACCGGGGTTCGATTCCTCCATCCCTCTCGGAGAGCCCGGCAAGCTACCGAGAGTATCCCGCCCGCACAGCAGAGCCTGGGAAGCTCCCCATGGTGTATCTGATATGCCAAAACCAGTCACAACAAGTCTCACAATGAAGACGTTACCAGTGCCCAATCGAGCAAACTAATGAACATCGAGAGGACAGTACTACAGTGCTACCCTATTTATGCACACACCCTGTTTGATCATCCGCCACAGACAGACCCTATCGGTACCCAAGTCCCAGACCTACAGACGACTCTGGAACTGGGGGGGTGGGGGGGGGGGGGGAAGAAGGACAGTGTCTAGACAGACGTTGCTAAATTGATTAGGTCTGCAGAAATCAGATTGATCCTGCCATTCACTCTCACTCTCTGGGTGACTCTTCTGCATCCAGAGATCTCACAGCAGACAACAGGTAAAAAAAAAGTTGGCTTTTTTTTTTTTTTTTTTTGGCAGTGGCTGTCACACAGTGCTCAGAGGAGTCAAGGAATAAGGACTCCAGGCCTCCCGCCACCAGTTCATCAAGGGAGCTAAACTTCTCAAGTTCTATAATAACATCTGGGCATCTCCAAACATTCCTATTCTCGAGAGAAAAAAAAAAAAGGAAAAAAAGCATTTTGAAGAAAAGGCAAAAAGATCAGGCAGGCTATAAAGCTTCCCTGCAATGAACCACACTGTTATGAATACCCTCATTCAGACGCCTCTGTTTGAAACACACTATAAAAGGAAGCACAAAGAGAGGGGGTGGATACGCAGGTGCGTAATTCCAACAGGCAACATCATCCAACAATAGGAACATGCAGGAATCATTTGAGCCAGAAAAGCCAAAAGGCTCGCAAACCTGCCCTCCAGAAAGGGCGCTCACCTTTGTCGGGGTCCACTCATCCAGTCTCTTATCCAAGGCCACGTCATAGCAGAAAGCTCCAGCAATTACTAGAAATCGAGCCAAGATAAAAACAAAGTCAAAACTATGAGGGAAGAATGTAACAAACTGCAACAACTGAATGTCTGTCACTGTCACTGTCCTCCCGTTGTTCATCAATTTGCTGAGCGGGGCCAGTAACGACTCCATTGGAGACTTTGTTGTTACTGTGTTTTGGCATATCGAATACGTCACGGGGAGCTTGCCAGGCTCTGCCGTGCGGGCAAGAAACTCTCGGTGGCTTGCCGGGCTCTCCGAGAGGGGCGGAGGAATCGAACTCAGGTCGGCCATGTTGGCTGTGTGCAAGGCAAATGCCCTACCGCTGTGCTATCACTCCAGCCCAACTGAATGTATAGGCCTTAAATTCAGGGCTCAGCCATTTTTCCTGCTCTGCAAACTATAAAAGTGGGGGCTGGATAGACATAGAAAGATTGCATTCATCTGGGGAACATAAAGTAACAAAATAGGAAACTAACACCCAAGTATGGCAGAGATTAGTACCAGGAATTTTACTCAATGACCCGGAGGACAACCACACATGTTAGGGGAAGGGGGAGCTCAGAAAGAGAAGGGAACACCAAATAAAGGGTGTTGGGAGGATCCGCCCACGATGGGAGAGCATGCTGAGGGTAGACTGTCGACCAGCATGATTGCCACTCAATGCCTCTTTTGCAGACCATGGCACTCAAAAGGAGAGAGAGGGAAATGCCCTGCCACAGAGGCAGGGTGGGATGGGGGCTGGGGGGGTGGGAGGGATACTGGGATCCGAGGTGGTGGGAAATGCACACTGGTGGAGGGATGGGTGTTTGATCATTGTATAATCGAAACCCAAGCACAAAAATGTGTAAGTCTACAACTGTACCTCATGGTGCCTCACTATTAAAAAATAAATATAAAATATATATATAAAAAAATTTTTTTAAAAAAGTGGGGGCTGGAGAAATAGTACAGGGTGTGGACTTAATCCCTGGCACCCTATATGGTTCCCTAAGCACTGCCAGAAATAATTCCTGAGTGCAGAGCCTGGAGTAACCCCTGAGCATTACTTATATGGTTCAGAAAGAAAAGGAGAAAAAAAAAATCTAAGAAAACATTACTCTTATCCCAATTGTTTGCCACAGATCTAACTTCCCCCAGTTCCCCAAAAAGTGGGAGAACCAGAGCAATAACAGAGCAAGCAGGGCGCTTGCCTTGCATGGGGCCAGCATCCCGTATGATCCCCCGAGCAGTCCCAGGACTAAGTTCTGAGTTCAGAACCCGGGAGTAACCCCTAAGCATTGCTGGGTGCGGCCCTAAAACATAAAAAAAAAAAAAGAAAAACCCCACAAATATAGACACTAAACTATTCCAAGGCAACAATACTCATTTATTTACTTAAAAGTGTACATTACCAGGAACTTCTGGAGCTCTGACCAAAGTGATCACATATTCATCCTTGAACGCCCTCTCGATCACACAGCCCAGGATCATGGCACAAGATCGCCAATATGCCTAGAAAAATAAAAACACAAGCACGACGCACACTGAGACCCACTGACATTTCTTCAATGTTCACATTCAGGTTGAGTTTTTGACTCAGGAAATGATGTCTCAAACATACATCCAGGCAACTGAGATAGAGAAGGGATCACCAAGTAAATGATGCTTAGAGGGCTGGATCGGGACGGGAGAAGCATGCTGAAAGTAGTCTATGGACTGAACACTATGGCCACTTAGTACCTGTACTGCAAACCATAAGGAGAGAGAGAGTAAAAGGGAATGTGCCTGCCACGGGGTGGGGGTGGGGTGGGGGGGGGAACATTGGTGGTGGAGAATGGGCACTGGTGGAGGGATGGTGGATACTTGATCATAGTATGACTAAAACATAATTGTGAAAGTTTGTAAATCTGTAACTGTATCTCATGGTGATTTAAAAGGTAAAATATATACAAATATATATATATCTCCAGCCTCAACGAGTAGCAGTGATCATCATCGGGTCACGCAAAGACAGAACATAATAAAGCACCAACTTCATGTTTTCTGTAACATCCTGCAGGAGATACCAAACACCAAAACAGCGGAAGAACTAACAGACCGGATATTTGTTTATTTGTTTTGCTTTGGGGACCATACTCGGCAGTGCTCAGGGCTTACACCTGGCTCTGCACTCAGGGACCACTCCTGGCAGGTTTCGAGCACCACATGGGGTGGCAGAGATGGGATTGATGTTGGCCGCACACAGGCAGGCACTTTGCACACCCACTAGATGATCTCTCTGGACCCTGCATCGTTTAATTATTTGGTAGTAATGAAACTTTAACCCAGGATAAAGTTAACTTAGTGACAAACTATTATACTAAAGTCAAATGGTAGTATGTACCTATTTGTACCACAAACAAAGTAGAGGGAAAACTCAACTTTCAAGAGTTAGATCTGCCCCTCTGGCTTCTTATTAAGCTTCTTAAAGGTCATGATCCCAAAGACACACAAACGAATCTGAATCACGGAATCTCGGAGTGGCTCTTGGCAGAAATCTCTCCAGACCTAATTATTAAAATTTCAAAATTCCAAGATCGTGCCACTGCACGACATCATATGCTATTCAAAATCAGCAATAGAAAACAAATTGTCCAATGTTGCCTTTCAGCAGGTCTAAGTGTTGGGGGAAAATTCCAAATAATAATGATGGAACTGGTGTCAAAATATTGAATGTGATCAAAGTAGAGAGATAGTAATGTGGAAATTATCTGCCACACAGATAGGGATAGGGGTGGGATGGAGGGGTATACTGGGGTTTTTAGTGGTGGAAAATGTGCACTGGTGAAGGGTGTTTGATCACTGTACGACTGACACTCAAACACGAAAGCTTTGTAACTACTCTCACGGTGATTCAATAAATAAATTTATTAAAAAAAAAAAAAAAGCAGGGAGGGCGTTTGCCTTGCACGTGACTGATCCAGATTTGATTCCCCAGCATCCCATATGGTCACCTGAGCATTGCCAGGTGTGACCCAAAAAAGCAAAAAACCAAAAAGAAGAAAAGGAAAAAGAATTAAATCTGACTCATGCTGCACCCCTCCCAGGACAGTTCCATCAGTCAAGTCACTTATGGCAACAAGTCATCCGTGACAACTCCAACGGCACATAGCAAGGCCCCCTCACGCTGCCCCGGCTGCCACCTTACCAGGTTGACCAGGGACATGCCGGACACGGGCATCCACACAACGCCTTGTGGTCATCAGGAGAAGCACGAGAACTGTCCACCTGTGGCGTTCTGTCCCTGGCCCGCACACCTGGAACTGGGCATGTGGTTCTCACAAGCTGCCCCCACAGGATACCAAGAGTGGGGTTCATTTGACTGGGGGAGATAAAAACTGCCCCGGAGCATACCCAACAACCATGCACCACACGCGGGGCAAAGGACAAGCCAGGCCCTAGGGAAGCGGCAGACGGTGTGTCTCCAGCTGGCCCTACTTTAGACAGTGCCAGTGTCGGCCAGACTCCACAGCCAGAACGTCTAGGCGCAAAGCCGGGCTCCACCACATTCTAAACCAGTCACCATGACAAGGCTGCTGAACTTCACTGTCCCTATTCGCCTGGAAAATAGGAACAATAGTGCCTATTTGCGTGCATTTTTATGAAGACTGAACTGACAATGCCCAGTATATGATAATATTTGTTCTTACTCTTGGATGGCTTTTGGGCATTTTATTTCTTGACAATATCTACACAGTATAAACATTCACCAATATTTACACACAGCGTGAAGAGTAACAGTGTGACTGATTGTATATAAATCTCAAACTTGCTGAAACAGGAATATGGTCCCTGTCTTCAGGAAGACCAGAATCCAAGGGGACGGAGCCATAGCACAGCGGGTAGGGTGCTTGCCTTGCACATGGTCAATCCAGGTTCAATCCCCAGCATCCCATATGGTTCCCGGAGCACCACCAGGAATCATTCCTGAGCAAAGATGCAGGAAAAGCCCTGAGCATTGCTGGGCGTGCCCCTCGTCCCCAAAGAAAAAGAGTCCTCTACACCAAATACATTCAACTACACTAGGAAAGATCGCATCTAAAGACATTGAACCATGTGTTGTGAAGCACCGGAGGAAAAAAAAAAGAGATGAATTCTCACAAGTAGCTGAATAGGTGCCACAGAGCAGAAAGTATCTGAATGATGAAAGACAGCATTTTAATAGAGATGGAAAGAAAACACTCAGTATTAAAGGAAGAGCATTACCAAGAGCAAGCCGAACTCTAGTGCTGGGGGAAAAGGCAGCTGGGATAGAGAAGGAACCACTAAGTAAACCATGGTTGGAGGGATCTCTCAGGATGGAAGATGTGTGCTGAAAGTAGACTGTGGACCAAACATGATGGCTACTTGGTGCCTGTATTGCAAACCATAACACCCGAACCATAACATCCAAAAGGAGAGAGAGAGAGAGAGAGGGAATGTGCCTGCCACACACACAGAGGTGGGAAGGGGTGTGGGTGGCGGGAGGGACACTGGGAACATTGGTGGTGGAGAGTGGGCACTGGTGGAGGGATGGGTACTCGAACATTGTTTGACTGAGAACTATTCACGAAAATTTGTAAGTCTGTACTGTATGTCACGGTGACTCATTAAAATAAAAATAAAATAAATAGTAATAAAGAACTGGGGAAAAAAATAAAAAGATGATGATGACTCTCCAAATCTGGAGCAACAGCACAGCGGTAGGGCGTTTGCCTTGCACGCATGGCCGACCTGGCCGACCCAGGTTCGATTCCTCCGCCCCTCTCGGAGAGCCTGACGACCTACCGAGAGTATCTCGCCCGCACGGCAAAGCCTGGCAAGCAACCCGTGACGTATTCGATATGCCAAAACACAGTAACAAGTATCACAATGGAGACTTACTGGGCCTGCTCGAGCAAATCTATGAACAACGGGAGGACCATGCTACCGTGCTAGACTCTCCAAATGTCAGATGTTCGGGGTCTGGAAAGCCAAGGTAACAGTTATCAGAGAAGTATTTTTGGTTTTTTTTTTTTTTTTGGCCAGGGTCAAAAACAAAAAAATTCTCCACAGTCGAGGAGAATATGGAGTAGATGGGGTCACATCCGGCAGTTCTCCGGAACCCCATGCAGCGCTGGGAATCACAGCAGTGGGGCTGGCCACACACAAGACACACAGTGACCTGTGTTCTCTCGGTCCCACGGCAGGCAAGTTCTACTGCATAATGAAACTCTCCCAGAAGACCCGAGTGCTTAAAAGTGGAAGCAAGGGGAGAAGTAGAGACAGCTGAAACACTACAAAAATAATTCAGAGAAGCAAGTCAAAGACTGAATTCGAGGAACAAAAATCACTTGCCAGTGACCCAACAATGCAAGTCGATAAGACACGTGAGTTTTCTCAAACTGAAATATGGAGAGATGAATCTCATGGTAGTTTCCAAACTCTGAAGGCATCTTACACAACATGCGAAATACTAATCAGGGATGATACATTTGGCCTGGGTCATCTGCCACAAGAACTTGGCCATCCACATTTTATACTCTACAGAAAATAACAACAAGGGGGGAGGGGGAGATCAAAGAAAAGGATGTAGGGCCGGAAATACCTTATTCACTTCTCGAGGATCCCGATCTTTGAAAGTAAGAAACTGAATTTCACAGGACTTGGTCAAAGGCTTATACATGTCCCAGGGCTCGCCGTCCACAAGCGCCAATATGGATTTCTTACAGTACCATTCACTTAAGTCTAGAATTGAAAACAGATGGGTCTCAGTCTCACAAAACCCAGGGGACAAGCTAATGTGGTCAGCACTACATTAATAATAAAAAAAAAAAAAGATTCTGCAAGCTGTCTTTGAGGAATAGAAAACTTACTATATGGGCCAGAGCAATTATATAGCGGGGAGGGCACTTGCCTTGCATGCAGACAACCCGGATTTGATCCCCAGTATCCATATGGTACCCCAAGCGCTACTAGGAGTAATTCCTGAGTCCAGAGCCAGGCATATGGCCCAAAAGCAAACAGAAACAGAAACAGGAAAAAAAAACACTAATAAAACAAAAAATACTACATATTCCATTTGTAACCAAGAAAAAAATAACACCGAATGTACTGGTTATTGAGCTGGAGCAAGAGCACAGCAGGTGGGCATTTGCCTTGCACACGGCCGACCTTATTCGGTTCTTCTGCCCCTCTCGGAGAGCCCAGCAAGTTACCAAGAGTATCTCACCCACATAGCAAAGCCTGGCAAGCTCCCCGTGACATATTTGATATGTCAAAAACAGTGAACAACAAGTCTCACAATTTGTTGAGACATTACTGGTGCCCACTCGAGCAAATCGATGAACAACAGGAGGACAGTGCTACGGTGCTACAGTACTGGTTACTACAAAATTAACCAAAGAATCTGCAAAACTCATTAAGGCTAAGTGCATCTTAAAATTATCTTGTCAGGGGACTGGAGAGATAGTACAGCAGATAGGGTGTTTGCCTTGCACGCAGTCAACCAGGGTTCGATCCCCGGCATCCAATCTGGTTCCCCAAGCACCGTCAGGAGTGATTCCTGAGTGCAGAGCCAGGAGTAATCACTGAGCATCGCCGAGTGTGACCCAAAAAGCAAAAACACAAAAACAAAATTAACTCGTCAGTTATTAAATCCAGAGGTTTAATTAATAATAAGCTAGTGTCAGAACCCTGAAGGTTAGCTCAGAAACTTCCCCACTACATGAGATACGTAACATAAATCCCCTTGAGGTCCTGGACTTGGTCCTCTACTGCATCGTTATCCTTAGGCCTGTTGTATTAGCAGAGGCTCAGCAAACACCCACAAATCCCTAATTACCTTCCTTACTAATTCCAGTACTAGAATAAATGAACACTCACAGTGCACGCTATAGAGGTCAACTTATGCTGATAACTAAAGCTCTTCATCTCTTGATTTTTTTTACAGTTTTTGAGCCACGCCTGGCTGTTTTCAGAAATCATTCCCGGCACTGCCAGGAGATCAAACTCTGGTCAGCAGCACAAGCACCTTACCCACTGTACTGTCTCTGGCCCCAAAAACTGTTAATAAAGACATTACTGAGCTTGGGGACTGAACCTATAAGATAGCAGTAGGGCATTTGCCTTGCACGCAGCCAACCGGGGTTCAATCCCCAGCATCCCATATGATCCCCTGAGCAGCGCCAGGATTGATTCCTGAGTGCAGAGCCAGGAGTAACCCATGTGCATTGCTGGGTGTGACCCGAAAAAGAAAAAAGACATTACTGAGTTTTCTAAGCCTGAACAATGCATTTTACACACCACACACACACACACACACTATGGAGTGTTTTTTATTTTTCAAATTTCTATTAGTGAAACACCATGAGGTACAGTTGTAGATTTATAAATTTTTGTGCTTGAGTTTCAATTATACAATGATCAAACACCCACCCCTCCACCAGTGCCCATTTTCCACCACCACGGGTCCCAGTATCCCTCTCACCCCCCCTCCCCCCCGCCTCTGTGGCAGGGCATTCCCTTTTGTTGTCTCTCTCTCCTTTAGGGTTCTGTGGTTTGCAAGAGAGGCACTGAGTGGCAATCATGTTCGGTCGATAGTCTACTTTCAGCATGCTTCTTCCATCCTGGCAGGATCCTCCCAACACCCTTTATTTGGTGCTCCCTTCTCTATCTGAGCTGCCTTTTCCCCTAGCACATGTGGCTGGCCTCCAAGCCATGGAGCAAAACTCCTGGTACTAATCTCGGCCACTCTTGGGTATTAGTCTCCTATTTTGTTACTTTATGTTCCCCCAGATGAATGCAATATATGCGATCAATTCAATGAGAGCACCTAGAAAAGCACTGTTACTGTTATGTTCAGGTTTTCTTAGGGAAGGGGCGTGTCAGGCCCATGTTCTGGGGTTAATTCCAAGCTCAGTGTTGGGTTACTCCCAGCTGCGCCCAGAGCACTGAGGACCAAACTGTGTCTCCAGCACATGGAGCACAGGCTCCGTCAGCTCACAGAGCTCTCTCTCGCCCCATAAAAAAGCATCCTGCTCAACAATAAACCACAAGGCTCAGTTTCCTTATTTCCACAGAAGATCACATACCTCGCATAACCCGCTCCCGAATAATCCAGGGAGATACCTAGCTCAGTGATGGAGAGTTTGCCATGCCCAGCACAACCAAAAACAAACAAACAAAAAGTTTTTTATCCAGTGAACATTTTTAATCACACACATGCAACACAAAAACACAACAAAGAGGTAGGTAGCAACAGCAACTAAACAATGAAAGTTGGGGCTGGAGTGATAGTATAGCAGGTAGGGCATTTGCCTTATACAAGGACAACCCAGGTTTGATCCCTGGGTGTAACCCAAAACGCCAAAAAAAAAAAAAAAAAAAAACAATGAAAGTTAGGCTATCCAAAGGTAAAAAAAGACCCCAAAACACAGTCACCAGAGGCAGAAAATTCCCCTTACCCTTGGGCCCTTTCATGAAAGCCACACTGAGTGGTTCCGGTTCATTAAAAGGGGTAACTACTTCAGCGACAGAGCATTCAGGCTGCTTTCGTCCACCAGGAACAACTCGACACGCTAAACTGGATCAGATTAAAGCACATCCGAATGTGGCCAGAGAGACAGTACAGCGCTAAGGTGCTACCCTTGCACGCTAAGGACCAGGGTTCCATCCCGGGCACCACATACGTCCCCCCAACACCACCAGGAGTGATCCCTGAGCAAAGACCCAGGAGTAAGCCCTAAGCACAGCCAGGTGTAGCATGAAATGCCAAAAAAAAAAAAAAAATCCACAAAAAAAACATAAAGCACATCCCAAGACAAGCTGTGATTGCACTAAAATCACAAAGAACAGACAGGTCAAGAAGGTTCGAGACTTCTAACATCTGGTCTCCTCTGTACCAATTCAACTGCACCAAGTAGGATGGGGGAAAAAAAATAAAAGGAGGGTTTCAGGTGAGCCGTTCCTGTCCTCACTTACTACTTACGCATTGCACAGCTGTACGGCGTGGAAATGTTTTTGTTCATCACGAACAGAGTGCCAGGGTCTGTTTTCCCAACATGCTTCACTTCAATCTTCTCAGTCCGGGGAGTTAACGACAGCTGCCTCGTCTTCTCTTTATTAAAGAGCTCGTTCTGCATTTCTACCAATTCGTTCGGAGCCGGCCGGGAAGCTGACGACGTCGCTATACATCCTGTGTCGACCGAGAGGAAAAGAATAATCATAACAATATACATCTATCCAAACCAGCCCTCACGCATCATCAGTCTCAAAGAGTCAGGACCTTTAAAAAAAAAAAAAAGGAGGGCCAGAGAGATACCGCAGTGTACTCAGCTGACCCTGATTCAATCTCCGCCTCCCATAAGGTCCCAGGAGGGATTCCTGGATGCAGAGCCTGGAGTCACCCCTGACCACCCCCCAGATGTACCCCTACCCCACCCCACCCCCCCCAAAAAAAGTCCATCTCCACCAAGCACTCAGGGGCAAATCAAGGTTTCTCGAGGGTTCAGAAGCCCAAGCAAAAGTGGTGGAAGAAATCGCGCGCTTTTTCCTTTGCCCTTGGCCTCGCAGATCTTCCTCTAACCCGGCCCAGATCCCCTGGCCGGGGTCCAACCCGGGTGATTGACAGTCTCAGGGGCAGAAGGTCACCGGGAAGCAGGAGGCAGAGGTGAGCAGGTGAGCCGAGCTGCTGCTCTCTGGCCAGGTCCTGGGGGCGGGGGGGGGGGGGGGGGGGGGGGGGTACAGGCAAGTACCAGGCCTAAATGATCCTGTCCCGGGGAGCGAGGGGAGGTAGCAAGGAATGCTGCCTGCATTTGTCGAAGCCCCCCAAAACAAGGCGATCCGGGGGAGGGGAGGGGAGGAGGGGGAGGAAAAGGGGGAAGGAGGGAAAGGAGGGGGAGGCGGGGGAAGAGGAGGAGGAGGAAAAGAAGGGGGAGGGGGAGGAGGAAGGAGGAGGAGGAAGAGCACTTGCAGGGGCAAGCCAGGAGTCTTCCCCAGTGGGGGGGGAGGTAGGAGGAGGAGGAGGAGGAGGAAGAGCACTTGCAGGGGCAAGCCGGGAGTCTTCCCCAGTGTGTGTGGGGGGGGGGGGAGAGAAGAGGAGGAGGGAGGAGGAGGGAGGAGGAGGGAGGAGGAGGGAGGAGGAGGACGAGGAGGAGGGAGGAGGAGGAGGAGGAGCACTTGCAGGGGCAAGTCGGGAGTCTTCCCCAATGGGAGGGCAACAACGTGCAAGCACCGGGCTCTTAAACGAGAAGTCCAGGGTTCCAGAGGTCCCTGCGACCCGTCGCGGCCTTCCCTGGACCCTCGGACCCCTCCCCCGGGACGGACACCCCCAGGCCAAGGGCGGGGTGCACCGGGACCCCATCCCCGTGTCCGGGCGCGCCGGACCCCCCCAGGACCCGCCCTGGGCGGACCCCCTCCTCGCGGCCTCGCTCTCGCCCCGACGCTCGCAGGAACTCACTGCATCCGGCCCGGCCCGGGGCCCGCCAAAGCCGCGGGCCCAGCAGCAACAGCAGCCCCATGGCCTCGGTTCGCCCGTCGGAACCGCCGCACTGCCCGACACTTCCGCCTCCCCCGGAAACTCGGGCCCGGTCAGCTGGGTTCCGGGGGACGCGTCCGTTCCGCACCGCCGCCGCCAGGGGGCGCACGCGCACTTTTCGCTCGGGGCTAGCGGCTCGAGTTCCTCCCGGGCCTTGGGGCGTGGTTTGCGATCGCCGGGTTTCAGGGATGCTCCGGGCGCTCGATGACTATAGGGGAACTAACGTCTCTTTGGTAGCAGAGCCCCTCCCCGCCACACACATACACACGTGCCACCCACAGACGTGTTTCTTGCTTCCCTCAAAGAATATCTGTGCACAGAAGAGTGGCGGGGGGAGGGGGTATGCTTCGGTTTTGCTCTTGCTTCCAAAACCAGGTGGATCTGGAAGGCTTCTAGGTCATGCTTTAACTTTGATTTTTTTGATTCTGGAGTTGGCTGGAATGGGTCCCCCAAGCTCGAGCTCAATCGCTCCTAGGTTTTTAGTTTGGGGACTTTTTCTTTTTTCTTTTTTTGCATCTTGTAATGCGTCCTGCAGATAATTTTTTAATTTTTTTTATTGGATCAATGTGAGTGATTTTTTACAAAACTGTTCATGATTAGGTTTCAGTTATAGGTTCCAACACCTAATTTTTTACAAAACTGTTCATGATTAGGTTTCAGTTATAGCTTTCCAATACCTCCACCAGTGTACATTTCCCAGCGCCAGTTCCTCCTCCTCCTCCTCCTCCTCCTCCTCCTCCTCCTCCTCCTCCTCCTCCTCCTCCTCCTCCTCCTCCTCCTCCTTCTTCTCCTCCTCTTTCTTCCTTCTCCTTCATCTCCCCCCCTTGGGCGTTGCGGTTTGCAATATAGATACCGACAGGTTTGAAAGGTTATCAAGAATATCCCCTTACCTACTTCAAAAAAAAATTTTAGAGTATTACAAAGCCATTTATGATTGAATTTCAGTCGTACAGTATTCCAGCACCCATCCCTCTACCAGTGTACATTTCCCAGCACTAGTGTCCCCAGGATCCTCTACTTACTTTTAACACTCAGTTCTTGTCCAACGTGATAATTCCCAGCTTTATTATCATACTGTTCCCTTCTCTATCTTGCCTATCCTCCATCCCACACACACCCTGCAGATAATTTTGTAAGCCCAAGATCTATCCAGAAATGATCCAGATTTGTTTTTTTTTTCTAAATAGAGAAATGCGTATTTAAAAGGCATGACAGGGAGAGTTTGTGTCTCCTTCAATAGTCTGAGCTTTAAGAGTACATGATACACAGCTGCCAGTCAATAGATAGTTGTTGAGTAAAACAAATGAGTGTCTCAAAAAAATCCTAGCTGCTGCTTAATTGCTTCCTTGTAGCGCGTGTTGCTGCTATTGAGGTCAGTATTTCATAGCTGAAGGATGGAATTGCTTTGACTCGAAGCGGTTCTGTTTCAAGGCTTTTGCAGGGGGTAACTGCTCGACACAAGCTGCCTTTTCCCGCGCTGCTCTTTGACGTGCAATAACTATCTACCACCAGCAGGTGGCGGTACTGGCTAAGGAACAGTTGGCCTAAATTTCACATTCTCAGCAACAGCCCTGGCACGGGTCGTTAAGCTTCAGTTTTAAGGCAAGAGATGTACATAAGTAACTCAGATTTAACCCCAGTTAACTGCATTTTACCATTCTACCTCCCTCGTTTAAGATCATAAGTCAAGAGATACACTGACGCATTTGTGATTTATATACATGGGACTCCCATATGTGTATCTTTGATTTCCTCCTTAAATTTGCATATAATTATCCATTCGAAAGCCCTTTGTTACCACCAGTCTTTAAGCATTTGTTCCCATTAATCCCCATTTATTTGCCTTCTGTTTTTAACCATATATTTATACAGGTTTAAATCATAAATTGCCTGAGGACAGAAATTACAAATTCCAAGTATCGCAGAAATTTATTTTGCTAAATGGATTGTAATGATTATGGTGAATAAATATTAAATATATGCAAATCATGGGAGCGGGATTTTTTTTTTAGTTGGCACAGGCTACTTGAGTGATTGGCATAATAATCCTTTTTCAGAAGAGGACATTAAATTTTGAACAGTTTGAGAAATATAGCCAAGATAGAACTTTAGAAAATGCTCCCAAATATTTCCTTACTCTAAATCCTTTCTTGCCTTCTCCTTTATCAACCTTTTTCCCAAATCTTAGCCTCACACTTTTTCATCTCTCTTCCATACTAAAAGAATCAGATCCCCTGCAAATGATGCTCGTAGGGTTACCATCTGGATGGCATATGCAAATGACGTGTATAAGATGATCCAATCAGAGGCCTGACCTCTCTATCCGCTTGCTGGTCTCACTGCTCACGTTATCCCTCAATACACCTGTGGAGCTAAACAGCCCCTTCAGCTCAGCATTCATCCCTGCCAACTCTGGTGAGCTGAGCTGGGAGTGGCATGATGCAGACATGGGGGTGTGTGTTTGTGCACGTGTATGTTGGTGGGTTTCTGGAGACGTGGAATGTGTTTGAATGCAAAGCACGTAGTGTATACCTTCAGCTATCACAGAGCACACACAGTCCACGACTTCTGCTACCACCTGTCCTAAAACCATTCCTCTCTCAGAGCACAAGAAAACTTTCGCAGTCCTATAGTAAAGGGAGAGACAACCAGGAACACAGATCACTGAGATACAGTTTTTTTGTTTGTTTGGTTTTTTTTTTTTCTTTCTTTTTGGGTCACACCAGCGATGCACAGGGATTACCCCTGGCTCATGCACTCAGGAATTACTCCTGGCGGTGCTCGGGGGACCATATGGGATGATGGGAATTGAACCCAGGTCGACCTCATGCAAGGCAAACGCCCTACCCGCTGTGCTATTGCTCCAGCCCCGGTACAGTTTCTTATAGATAATATATATTTTTTTCTTTTTGGGTCACATCCAGCAATGCTCAGGGGTTACTCCTGACTCTGCAATCAGGAATTACTCCTGGCGTTGCTTGGGGGACCATATGGGATGTCCGGTCAGAGGCATCCAAGGCAAATGCCCTACCTGCTGTACTATCACTCCAGCCCCTAGATAATATTTTTGTTTTCATTTAATTAAAAGTGTGAATAGTGTGAAGAATATATTTTTGTCTCTAATACTGATTAATAAATAGCATACAGTGTTTATTTATTTATTACTAAGGATTCTGGAGGTCTTGAAAATTAAAATTAAATCATGAATTGAAGGGATAGTAAGGACCCTTTCATTTCTCTCCTTTGTTTTTTAGAAACAGTGAGTTACATAAAGTTAGTGTTTGCTTCAAGGCCATAGAGAATGCCAGAGTAGCATCTGTGATAATTGGAAACACCGGAATGCGGAGAATGCTGAATCCTGAAATAGGCACGTAGTCCGAAATCATCTAACCCGTGGTAGCCACACCAATTCCTTTCTTTCCAAGTTTAGTAAACATTACTCACCTCACATTTCCTCAGGATTTCAAAAATGCATTTTGGTATGCATTTTCGTAAATGAAAAGGTCAGCTATAGATAGATCCATTCTTCAGAAGTTCCTTCTCCCATATCAACCCCACAACATACATAATTCTGAGATTCCTTTAGGATGGAGGTTCATGGTTTCTGGGGGTAGGCAAAGACCTTTGGCAAAACTGCCTTAAAATTTTGGAGGGCATACTCCTCCAGAATCCAGCGCCTTACTTATTCATAACCCATCTCCCCATTTATTTTTTCAGTGTGGACTCCTGAGTTCCCCTGTCTGTTCTTAGTTCCTTTTCTAAGACACCTGCTTGTCCTCCTTTCTGTTTTTACCACAAAATCTTGTTTATCCCCCTTCGCTTTTTGGTGCTATGGTTGTTTCTGTTCGTTGTTGTGTTGATGACCAGGGATATTAGGCACTTTCATTTTTATTTTTTTTTAAATTTTTTATTATTGAATTGAACCTGGCTTGGCCAGGCCGGCTGTGCGCAAGGCAAACGCCCTACCACTGTGCTATCCCTCCAGCCCCGTGAGATACAGTTACAAAGCTTTCATGTTTGAGTTTCAGTCATACAATGATCAAACACCCATCCCTCCATCAGTACCCATTCCCACCACCAATCTCCCCAGTATAAATGCTTAAGTAGACAGTGGGTGGATGTGGCATTATCTGGGCGTCCCATCAGGGCGGTGGGGGGGGCAGAAGGAGGATCCACTCCTCCCCTGTCCTGTGAGACTTGGGATTTGCTGTCACCTTGACTCATACCTGGAGCTTCTCGCTGACTTCTAGAAAATGTTTACCACTGGGACTCTTAGAGGGCAGGTGGAGGGACAGTACCTGCCCCCGTCTGGAGCAGCCCAGTAGAGGCCTATTGCAAAGTCCCAGGCCATCTCTGCAGCTAGTTGCTCAGGTCCGAGATTTATTTGTGTCCCTTATTTTGTGTTTAATCTATTATTCAAAATCTATCTGCTCCAGTGGGTAAGACACTTGCCTTGCACACAGCCAGCCCAGGTTCAATCCCCAGCACCCCATGTGGTCCCCCCGAGCACCAGGAGTGATTCCTGAGTGCAGAACATGGAGCAACCCTGAGCATCACCAGATGTGACCCAAAGAACAAAATTTTTGAAAAAATTTTAATTTGTCTGCTCCATATTTGAGCTATGCAAATAAAATTGCACATGAAGTAGCAAAGGTAATGAAACACAGGGGCAACAAGAATAAAGGACTTGTCGCTGTCTGAACAATTCTGTGACAATGTGGGAGCATTTTGATAAGTGTTGGCAGCAGGACACCACATGTGATGCCGGGAAGGAAACCTTGGCATTCGCACAAACAAATGGTTTGGCAACAGTTTGTTGAATTTCTGCTATGCCTACAAATGCCAGCAATGATTTCTCAGACTGAAAAATTACTACATGTGACAGATTTGAGAATTTTTCACAAAGGCCATACAAGAAATCACCCTTCCCAATTAAAAAAAGGACTTGAGCTCCTTGAACACTTGTCACTGATAAAACAAAGGCTCTCTGGAGTCTAATGTTTTTTATCTTATGCATTGTATA